GTGCCCCAAACAGCAACCTTGTTTGGCCTCGTGATCCCACGTCCACACCTGCTGATGCTGTAATTTTCCACAGCGGAACCTTGAAAAGCCTCAAAGATGATAACAGCAGTTGCTGGTTTATTGTAAGTCTACTTTGTGCCATGTCCTTTATGCGCTTTATCTTGAACTCTCTCAATCATCAGACAAGCCTCATTTCCCAGATGTGGAAACTGAGGCTCAGAGAGAACAAGTGACTCGACCAAGGGCACACAGCTGGGATTGCAACCTACATCTGGGCTACCAAGGTCCATGTGCTTTCTACTTTACCATTGTGGCCTGGCTTTTTTCTTTCTCTTGTTGTCCGCTCTTCACTGCCTGCCAAACCCTCCCTTCTTGCCCTCCCACCTCCAGTCTTCCGGCTGTCGCACACAGTTGGGCGTGGTCTGGCCCAATACGTAAATGAAGGTCAGGAGCAGGACTTCTCAGTCTTGGCACTACTGGCATTTTGGGCTGGAGAATTCCCTACCGGCAGGAGGAAAGTGCTGTCCTGTGCGTTTTAAGATATTTAATAACATCCCTGGTCTCTGTCCACTAGATGCCAATACCATCACGCCTCCCCTGGGGTGACGACAAAAAATGTCTCCACACAAGGCCAGATGTTCCCTGGGGAGCAAAACAGCTCCCCAGTTGAGAACCACTGCCTGATAGGAACGCGGGGTCAGGGTCAAGTTGATCATAGCCTGTCTTGCCCATTAGACCATGAGCAGCTGGAGGGCAGGGAGAGTGAATTCTTGACACACCCTTACTGCAACGCCTGTAGCATGTAGCAAATGCCGCTGAAGGCAGAATGAATGAACGGTTTCCATGGACATGGTATGTTTCAGGATGAGGGCCCGATGGCCTACGTTCCCATCCAGATCCTTCTGGCCTGCTCTGGGCCGGCCTGGGCCGTGCACCTTCTCCTATCTGGGCCTCCATCCCCTTCGTGATCTCTTCCATGAGGGTCATCACAGGCCCTGAAGGCCCTGGATGTCCGTGGTCTGGGAACTTCCATGTTCCACCTCACAGGCCCAGAGTCGTGGGGCTGAGGGGGCGCAGTCTGCCAGGCTGGAGATTACACATCCGCCCAGTCCTGAGTTTCTCCTTCATACCCTTACCCCTCAAGTCAAATCAATCACAGACAGACGAGCAAGGCCTGCACCAAACAGACCTGACGCAGGAGAGGTGGCTCCTTTTTTGGGTGTGTGTCTTAAAAGGAAAAACATGTAACCTCAAAGGTAACCAAATATCCAAATCGTGATGGCCAGCATCGCACACCCCAAATCCACCGATTCATGAGTTTAACAAAAAGCTTCTTTAGGATACACTATAAGGCCATTGAGAGGGAGAAAAGTCGCCTCTCATATGTCCAGGCCAGCCCGCAGGGCCCGCCCTCCTAGTATGTTCGTGCACACACACACACACACTCAGCTGCTTACAAGGAGGCTCTGAGTTTTTAAAAGTAAACTCCACAGTTTCCGTCCTTGCCCTGGATTCAACTTTTGAAAAAAGAACCGTTTTCCCATTTTCCCTACAAATTCCCCCTCTCTCTGGTCCTCCCTCTGCCTCACTCCAGCTCACTCCAGCTCTCCCTCTAACCCCACCCCTGCCCTGCACCCCACCCCCCAGCAGCTCCTCCCCTGCAATGTTGACTCCATCTGCAACCACACCCAGGGGCCCAGACCTCCTCTCAGGACGGGTCTTGGGGGAGGAGAGTAGCCACGGGAGATGCCACAGCCCCCCCTTCACCCAAAAGAATGGGTAGAACGGAGCTTTCTCAAGGAAGGAGGGTAGCAGTGAAGCTCCTGTCCAGACCCACAGCATGGCCAAGAGGCCGCCTGGTGACAGCAGAGAGGATGGCTCCAGTCTCCAGATGTTCCCACAGATAGATCCCCTTTCCCAGCGCAGCCCATCGGCCCTGTCACCTTTCCTGCTCCACTTACAAGTAGGTCTGTCCTCCATGCATTGTTTCCTCTCTGATTCTGAACCCTCTGCCTTGAACTGGACTTTCACTCCTACCCCCAGCTTCCACCCCTTCCTGTCTCCACTCCCAAGATGCTTAACGGTCCAGTCCAGGTGTGACTACACGGGCACCTGCCGGCCGGAGCCACGAGGCCGGCATTTCTCAGAGACAGAAACGTTATCAGGATCAGTGTCTTTCCAACTTTTTTGACCACAACCCGCAGTAAGAAATACATCACATAAACATCAAATTTGTATATATTGTGTGTATATTATACACACATACACATTTAGAGAGGATTGCGAAATATATAACAGAGATAGAAGCTTCCAGAAACAATACTTATTGTTACTGCATGAGAGGCACTATGAGATTATTCTTTCCTATGTCATTACACCCCCCTAAACTGCCGATGGACACATTCTATGCTACATGTCCCAACAGGAGTAGAGACAGACTGAAAGTGAGACTCCAAGCAGAGGCCCGTGGGCCTCCCCTGGCTCAGCTGAGGCCCTCCCAATGCCCAACAAGAAGGGGCTTGGGAGGGACCAGGTTCTAGAAGGCATCATGAAAAAATTCCACACAAAAAGTTAGGACACACAGTCTTTTATGGTTTTAGAATATTCTAAATCAGTAATCTCCTGAGCTTACAGTTTGTGACCCCAAGGGGGCCTAGAAACTGTTAGAGGGGAGGAATTCAGGTTTCTGGTGCCCTGTGATCTGGGCAAGGACCTCTTCAAAGACCATGCAGCCAGTAAGTGGCTGAGTTGGGACGTGAACGCAGGTCTGCCTTGCCTGGCAGGCTTCCACCTTCACAGCTCTCCCCCACCAACTATCTTGGAGCTCTCTCTCTGACTGGGGAGTTGGACAATCTGTTCGGGGCATGTGGGGATGGAGGGTGCCCCACTCAGTATGCAGGGGTGTGTGTGAGAGGGGGTGCAGGGGTGAAATGTGTGCGTGGGTGTGAGAAGGGGCATGGAGTCAGGTGCGGCCCACACCAGACGGCACAGGGTCTCGCCACTCGAGCGCACAGAGACGCCCTGCAAATACCTAAGAATATTTCTGTCATTTCCCGCTCTGGATTCTTTACTCCTATATTGACCAGAGGGCTTTCAAATAATACAGAAAGAATCCTAACCTAAGTAGGATTTTCATGGACAATTCTAGGAAAAGAAAAATGTCTCCTGAATATTAAAATTAGTAGTCGTAATAATAGTAATACCAAATAGTTACTGAGGACTTGCCCCGTGGCAGGCACCGTGCTAAGTGCTTGTGTCATCACAGCTACCGTTAACTGAGGACCCGCTATGGGTCAGCACTGAGCACAGAGCCTGGCACCTAGGTGGCGCTCACTAGTTACCAGAGAATGAATGAAGGAACCAGGTGTTGCACGAGAAGCTGCACGGAAATACATCTAATTTAAACTCAAGCTCGATGTAACCTGAAACATGCCAGCATTTTCTTTGAGAGACATTTTCTTCCTTCTGATAATTCCTTCATCCGAAACTTTTTAAATCCGAGGGCCCTTTTCCTTCGGGGTAGAAACACCCCCCTCCTTTGGGTTTTCTCCCCCGTGGCCTCGGGGGTTTTCTCCCTGATGGCCCTTCCATTCCTGGGCAGTCTCTTCCAGGCTCAGTGACTGACACTGATCTACACCTCCTTAAACCACCGTGCCCAGGGGCACAGGCAATCCGATGGCCTCTTCTCCTTTGGCAACCCAGAGGCAAGGAAGGCACAAGAATTAGAGCCCAGACTTCGGAACTCTTAAATCAGGACAAGCAACTGACGAGGGCCTCAGAAAACCTGGGTTGGAGGAGTCCTGCCCTTCCGGTAAATCATGGGTGACCTTTAGAAAGTCATCACATCTTTCTGGGTTCACTTTCTCTCCAATGTGTTTCCAAGGTCCGGGGTTCCCCTAGACTGTCAGATACCCACCCGCTTCAGTGTCTGGGACCTGAAACACCACACTAACCCGCTCAGCTTTGCATCTTCCTTTATTCCTGGCCACCACCCCCACACAACAGGGACATATGCACCTATCGGAATGCTGGGACCTGGGCTCCTCAGTGGTGAGACCCTAGAAGAATCCTATCACAACCTTGCTCAGGACTGCAAGGAGTAGAACGATGGGAAAGTTTGGGTTGGGTCCCGTCTCCCAAGAGGAGGCGAACCCCCGCCCCACAGTTTGCTCTAGCCTAGAACACAGGTTCAGTGGACAACTGTCCACCCAACCCCAGGGATAGAAAGTCTCCACCATCACTGGCTTCAGAGGCAGAGGGACCCAGAGACAGCAAAACTGCCCATGGTCACGTGTCCTCATTTTCCCTCTTCTTCCTTGAGAGATGTCCCTTCTTGGTGGCATGTTCAGAGCTCGTCTCCCTTGCTGGCAGCTCAGTGGCCCGGTCCTGGGTTCTGCCAATCCCCCCCTAGCTCTCCCCCACCCGTCTGGGCACCCTGCGACTCCTGGGGCAGGCCAAGTGGCCAAGAAAGTGGGACAAATGGGTTCGCGCAGCCTCTGCTTGGGCACCTGCTGCGTACCTGACACGCTGCCCGCGTCACTTCGTTTATCCCCCAGCCATCCTGCCAAAGAGCCTCCCCTTTCCCTCTAGGCAGAACAGGCCAAGGCTCAGAAAGATGAAGCAACTTCTCCAGCTCAAAAGTAGCACAGGGCATCTGAACCCCCGACTCGAAAGCTGCTGCTCTGTCAACCGGGGCTCGTTCCGGACCCTACGGCTTGAAAACACACGGGAGTTTGGAGTAAAAGCTCCCTCTCCTCTAGTCCTGAATTTCGGGGCGGGGGGGGGGGCGGCAGACGAGAGCCCCTCCTCACGCGTTCGTTTGCCCCCTTCACGCGGAGTCTGCAACAGCCGGAAAGTTTGCTCAACTGCACCGCGCACGCCACGGTCGGGAGCCCCCGGCGCACGCCTCCTCGGAGGGAGACCGAGGCAGCGCAGCCCCCCCCCAGCCGCGGCTCCGCTGCCGGCTCGCCGGGCGCCCCGGAAGGGAAGGAGACAGTTACCTCGAAGAGTTGGACTCCCTTCCGCGAGAACTTCAGTGCCGCGCACCTGGCGAGGCAGCCGGGGGCTCCTGGGGCCGCGAGGCCCGGGTCTCGCTGCGCAGCGGAGGGAGACGCTCTGCGCGCGCGCCGCGCACCCCTCCGCCTGCCGGCGTCCTGTCCGCGGGTCCCCTCAGGCGGTGGCCGCCGCGGCGGCGGCGACTGGGTTGCGGAGTCCCGGCTGGCCGAGGGAAGGGCCACTGCAAGGTGCCCGGAGCCCCTGGCACCCGCGTCAGATGCCGGCCGGCGAGCGCGCGGAGAGAGAGACCTTGAGCGGCGTGGCGCGCGTCCTCAGCTCTGCGAACCCCCTCTGGAGCGGCGGGGAGGTAGGTGGGCGGGCGGGCGGGCGGGCATGGCGCGCGGTGACACATACATAGGGGCGGGCGGGGGAGGGGAGGGAAACCCCACCCCCGCGGGACCCGAGGGGCGGCCGGCGGGGGAGGGGAGGGCGGAGGCGTCTGGAGCGCGCTGGACCCCGGCTCCGGACCGGCGCGCCGCTGGGGAAGCCGCCCGGGGCGCAGGGCGCGAGAGGAGCCGGCAGCTCCGGGGCCGGCGGGAGGCAGAGGCGCGGGAAGGGCTGCAATGCGGTCGGCGGCTCCGCAGTCAGAGGGGCCCCGGAGGACTGTGCCTGTGCCCGCACCCGCACCCGCGGTGGCCGGACGGGGCGCCCGGGCTCCCGGCGCGGGGTGTGCAGCCGACGCCCGGGGTAGGGGGGTGGGGAGACGCGAGAGGGCAGGGCGCGCCCCCTGCTCCCCGGCCGCGATTTGGAAGGACCCTCAGGAGGAGCCGGCTGAAAGTTTTTGGGGATGGGGTGCGCCGGGATGGCAGGGAGGAGTGGGAGAGAAGGAGGTTAGGCGGCGGCGGGGAGGTGTGCCGGGGACCGGGAGCCTCGGGGCAAAAGGCTGAGGGTCTTCACAATCCCGGAGAGACCGAGGACATCTCCAACGAAGCAGGAGTTCTCCAGGACTTTTTGTAGCTCCAGAGACCACCCTCCTTAAGAGTTTTGTTTCCAGGCAAAAGAGTAAAGGAACCAGCGGCGTTTGAACACCTTCTGTGAGCTAGTTGGTTAACATACATTCGTATCTCACTTGATTTTCCCCAAACCCCGATGAGGTAAATATTAGGATTCCCTCACCCCCAAAAGATGTGAAAACTGAGGCTCAGAGAGTGATGGAGTTGGTGGGGTCTGAATTCAAATCCACAGTCATGCTCCCTCCGCTACACAAGCTGCTGGTTAGGCACAGAAATTTTGGGGGACCCGGGCTAGGCTGGTGGCCTTCGGGGTCCTTACGGAGGGAGCTGGTGGTGCTTGATGCTAAGATTTAGTGGCCTCGGTCGATGTGGCAGAAGCCGCTTGACTCCCTCACTGGGCATGGACTGAAGAAGAACACGAAGTGGCATCTCTGTGGGCTGCCCCTTACAGAGATAATAGACTCAGCCTTTTCTTGATTCAAAGGCACGGAAGTGGCTCCGTTTCCCCAGGGTGACAACTGTGGAATCGTGTGGGTATTTTGCTGGCCATCTCTGCTAGGGGGCAGGACTGGCCCTGGCCCAGCACATTCTCTTGTGTCTTCTCTGCACAGGGCAGTGACGCCTGGGGAGGGCGTGGCTCCCACTCTACCCACTGGTCCCCGGGAGTTGTGGCTGAGGTGTTCCACTGGTGGGCACCTCTTGGCTTCACTCCTTTTCTACCTGAGTCTGTTGGTTTCTCCCACTCGGGTCTCCAAGTTACAGAGCACCTTGGGCAGGGCTGGCTTGATAGTGATCAGACCCTCAAGGGGAAATAGCATCTTGTTTCTCAGACAAAAAAGTGGGATGCAATCTTGTTACTGACTCCAATGCCTAGGCTAGTGGAAGTGACTCTTCCAGAAAAAAAAAAAAAATCCTTAAAATTCTAACAGGAGGAGTCATGGGTCCTCATGCCAGGATTTGCCTGATACTCTAGGTGAGTACAAACCGCACTGTCATCTGTAAAATGGGGTCATATCTGACTTACATCCCAGGGTTAGTGAAGGACAGTTCGATTCAAGGACAAGTATTAATTAGGTAATTAATCTTTGTGATGAAGGGAGCGAGTGCTTCTTGATCATCTCATTTTGTAATGAGGCAGGGAAACATACAATGGGCACCGATTATGTGCCCACTGCTTGATACAGCAGCCTTTCAGGTGGATATTACTCCCATTTTATGCACTAAGAAACTGAGACTCACAGGCCACCCAGGTAGTGAATGAGTGTGGGTTGGCATAACGCCACACTGCTGCCCCTACAGGCTACAGAAAACCCAGGATGATTGAGAAGTGCTTGGACAATTCTAAAGACCGTGTTCAGAAAATCAAAGGACATCAAGGTCAGAAAGCCCTCTGTGGCATATGGATGCTCCCCTGTTCAATGCAGACTGTTCCTTGTGTGGTATTTCTGATGCTGGTCACTCTTCCTCTGCTCAGATACTTTAATATTTGCTTAATGCCTTTTCCAGGCTGCCTGACCCTATCTGCTGTCGTGGGCCACCTTTAACCTCTGGCTGTCCAAGCGTGGTGTCAGCTTATTCGAAATGTACAAATCGAAATGCAAAATGCCAAAGGCCTGCTCCAGACCTTCTGACTCAGAATCTGCATTTTAATAAGATCCCCCAGGTGTTTTATATGCCTTCTGAAGTTTAAGGGCCACGTGCTGGTATCATTCAGCAGGTTCTACTCATTCAATCGCAAAATTACCAGGCGAGAGGATCTCAGAGCCCGGAAGGGCTCTTAGGGAACGTTGAGGACAGTGTCCTGACCGACTGGAACATTTACTCCACGTGAACATTGCCATGGATTTCACTCTCTTCTGAGGCCATGTCCCATTTTCATGTGATTCTAGTATTTAGGCAGCTCTTAGATTTCACAGAAGCACCTACTGGTCCCCATCACTATGGTTGAGCAATGAACAAAACAGGCCCTGTTTCCCCCTCTTGGCCCTGGCCCCCAGACCTCCTTCCACATGGTGGATGTTTTTGCGTTTGTAACCAGTGATTTCACTGTTCTCACCCTCCCTGTCTTCTCCTTTAGGGCTGGGCTTCCTCACTTCACACTGTCCTTCCTCATCTCTCTCTATCAGTGGACTCCACCTGCTCCCACCAATCTTCTCCCAGCAGGTCTGGACTTTCCTTGTCCTGTGTCAAGACCTAAACACAGACCTGTTAGTGTGCTCAACCCAGGGGAGAGCTCACCTCCTCTGACGGGGTACTATGCTTCTGTTAATGCAGCCTACATTTATGTGCTTTTCTGGCAGTGTCATCGTGGCTCATTTTGAGCCTGTAGCCGACTGAGATCCCCTTTCCACATGTACTGCTATGGCCCAGTGTCTTCCCTGGTATAATGGGTTGTTCTAATCCAAGTGTGGGACTTTATCTTTGCTTCTCCTAAAAATTTCCCTAATAAGTTAAGCCCACCACTCCTGACCATCTTAGATCCTATTTCTTTCTTTTTTTTTTTTAATATAATTTATTGTCAAATTGCCTTACATACAACAGCCAGTGCTCATCCCAACAAGTGCCCTCCTCAACCTGGATCCTATTTCTATCAGTTTGTTTTCTGTTGTTCTTAGCAGCAGCCTTTCTACAAAGCTGACTAGTGTCCCGCTTTTGTGTCTTCCCTTATCCTGGGGCTGAGTTCTAGAGCAGGCAGGATGCCATGCTCCATATTGCAATTATAATGGCTGTGTAATGCATCAGTCCAAACCTTAGTGTCATGGCTCCATAAGGCAATTATAGGATGCCATGCTCCATACCGCAATTATAATGGCGGTGTAATGCATCAACCCAAACATTAGTGGCTTAAAACAATGATTGTTCATGGTTTCTGTGTGTCAGGACTTTGGGAGAAATATGGCCAGGCAGTTCTGCCTTGGGTTATCTCATGGGGTTGCAGTCGGATGTCAGCTGAAGGCTTGACTGGGGCTTGAGGGTCCAGGTCTAAGGCGGCTGGCAAGTCGGTGTTGGCTGTTGGCCAGTGGCCCCAGCTCTTCTCCTTCTGGCCTGCCAGTGGAGCTGCCTCATGGCATGGCACCTGGCTTCTGCCACAGCAAGTGACACAGGAGGCCGAGTGGACGCTGCAGTGGTCTGATGTCCTAGCTTTGGAAGTCACGCACTGCCACGTCCGCCATAGTCTATTGGTCACACGGGACCTGCCCTGAATTAGTGTGTAAGGGGACATACGAAGGTGTGAATACCAGGGGTTGGGGATTGCTGGGAAGCCTCTTGGAGGTTGGCTTCTACATTCCGGTAGACTGGCTCTTAGAGGACGGCCAGTCTCCCAGTCCACCTAAATGTGGCATCGAGACTGCTTGTTTCTGTCCCTTACGTGGGGACGCCACGCATGTACTTTGCTAAGTCCCAGCGCAGGATGTTTGCAGAATTCCTCCGAAGCATCCTTCCAATATCCCTATACGAGCAAGCGGTCTAGCCTGTTCTCTGGGACAACACCTCTGCCCCCATCTCTGCAGGACAGCCTTCAGCATCCCGCTCCTGATGGTGCCGCCAGAGATTATTGAGTTGCTGAGCTCTGTCACACTTTTGGTTGATATTGATACTTGTGGACAGTTAAAACCATCAGGTTCCCTGTGTGTGCAGTAGCATTGGAAATGAATCCCAGTTCTGGCACAGAGAATGAGGGCAAGTTTCTTAACCTCTCTGGGTTTCTTTCTTTCTTCTTTCTTTCTTTCTGTTTATTTTTGAGAGTGAGATAGAGGACAAGCAGGGGAGGGGCAGAGAGAGAGAGAGGGAGACACAGAATGTGAAGGAGGCTCCAGGCTCCGAGCTGTCAGCACAGAGCCCGATGTGGGGCTCGCACCCACAAACTGGGAGATCGTGACCTGAGCCGAAGTCAGGTGCTTAACCGACTGAGCCACCCAGGCTCCCTGGGGTTTCTCATCGGTGTAACGGAATTGTGTGGAATTGTAGGATTCGAATTAAGTGATGTCAGCACCTACGCAGTGATCTGGCTCCAGGAGCAAGATGGTGAATTTTCTTCCCTCTCTTCTCTGCTACAGTTTGATGTCCCTGAGTAAGTGTGTGCTGCTCTCTGGGTTTGTAAAAGAAACTAAAATCCTCACCTCCTTGGAGTGTGGCAATGATAAATACTATAGGCAATGTGTGTAGAGAGATTGCGATCATTTCTGGAAGCAAAGGGCCATAGAATTATGATATAGAAAAGCCTCATTGCAGACCGAGGCGGGGGAGTGGTCTTCTGAGAATTAGTAGAACATTCAAAAAGTGCTGTCTTATTCCTTTAATACTGTTCAAGTGACAAACTCAGAGGAAAGTGTTCTAATAATAAAGAACATGG